TCTTGACCCATTCCCACTACCCAGCCTCACCTTTTCAAAACCATGGCCGTTTCTCGTCAGAATTGAGAGGGTTGGGAGAGTTCTTCCTTCCCTTCTAATACCTGACGTATCCTGCCTGCCTGCCTCCTCCAAATCCTGTTCACCTTGTGATCTTTCGCCTCCTCGATCACATCCTTCATCTCATGCTGTCTTCTGCCATCTATCTGCTTGGTGGGTTTGATACTTATCCACACAGGGGTTTGCACTCCCCTTCTTCCCAAGTCTAGTGGAATCCGTCAGCTTCCTGAGGGCAGGAACCAGTGTCCATTTCTGTGTCTGATGCTTCTGTGCCCTAATGGAGGGCTGGGAGCGACGTGTTTGTGTTCACCTTAGGGTACTGTGCCTTTACTTCGGATTGTCTTTAAATGGCCTAGGCCGCACGTGGTGGTTCCAGGAGACACCAGCATGTTCGTGAGAGCACGGTTCTAAGTGTGTGTGTGTCTCCATCCCGTAATTGTTGAGACAGGGATTCATGATGTTCACGCTGGCCTTGACCTTCTGTTAGTCGAGGATGATCTTGAACTCCTGATCTCTGTCTCCCACGTGCTAGGATTACAGGCGTACTTCACCACCATAGGTCGTAACAGCGGCCTCTTGAGCTGCAGGATGCCTTGGCTGTGAATGAAGGCCCTGCTCCTTACAGGCAGAAAAAATGAGGCAACCAATAGTGACCTGGGGGCCCCGGGAAGGAGTTTTCAAAGTCTGACTTGTCAACGCCACTTTTAACGCACCCCGCCTCCATTCACCTGTAACGTGGAGAGGGGGTTGTGCCCTACAGCAGTTCTTGTTCTGGGGCGCCCTCAACCTGCGTGCTCTCCACCCGCGTCTGCTTGCTGAGTTTCCCTAAACTGCTTCGCTGTAAACTCCCGGCCTCATCTCTAATCCGTAAACTCGCTCGCGCACTCCCGCGCTCGCTCGCTCTCTTTTCTTCGCTCGTGTTTCTTCGAAACTCACTTTCTACAACTTTCTCCCGGCACTCTCTGGCTGTTTGAAGCCAGCGCTCCTTTCCTTTCCCACCACGGCTGTTCTGGGTCCGCCCGAGACCCGTAAGCAACCCACCTCCCACAGGACCCCCATCCACCCTATATCCCCATCCCCAAAGTTGGGGGAAGGGGGCAGAGCGGGCGGCTCGCGGGAGCTGGCAGGAGGGGCGGGCCCCTGGGAACGGAGTGGCCAACCTCGCCCCCAGGCCCCCCGCGCCCCTCGGGCCGGGGTGAGGGGCTGGCCCAGCGCCAGCGTAGGAGGCCGGCCCCCTCCCCCGGCCCGGGCGTAGCCAACCAGGAACTCCAGCGGGGCCCACGTGACCTGGAGTTCTAGACAAAGAAAATGTTCCCTCCCTCCCCCCCAGCGCCCCCTCCCCCTCCCTCTGGCCCCCTCCGCCCCCAGCCCCAGCGCCCCCTGCCCCTCCCCCCAGACGGGCAGCTATTTACAGAGCTTCAGGCCGGGGCTCACACCTGAGCCGGACCGCAGAGGGGCTGCACCTGGCCTTATGGGTAGGTTCTTGGACAGAGCCCTAGGGTTACCGGGGGCGGGGAGGTTGGCTGGGCCGGTGGGAGGATCCTCGCAGCCCTCAGTGTTGCAAAGAGTCAAGCCAGCCTCCGTCCCAACTGAGTTCCGGGGATGCTGACTTAGGTCGGTCCCACTAACTCGAGTTTTGGAGCTTCAAGGCCCCGCGCGTCCCTGGTCTCAAGTGTCACCTGGCACGCTCAGGGGACAGGAAGATCAGCCCTGACGGTGGTGGTAACTGCAGGCTTGAGGCAGACGGCCCGGCTGAAGGCAGTAGAGGACCAGAGTTGGGTTGGAAGTAGCCTGGGCTGTAGCTGGAGTTGTTGGGTGCCTGGGTGCCTGGCAGTTGTTGATGACCTGTGTGCCTTCTTGGAGGACCATGTTGGCCTCAAGGCCTTACCAGCTCTGGGCCTCTGGAGAGAGACAGTTTCCTCCCCTAATAACACCCCAATATTTCTGTATCCCTAGGCCGGCAGCCAGAAAGAAGTGGTGAGCCATGGCAAGGGAGTAGTGCGAACCTCGGGGTCGTGGAGGGTAGCCTGGTGTTCTGTGACACTGAGATAGCCCAAAGCCGCGTGGGTTTGGCGGCAGAGACAATCAGACCTCTGACCTTTGGATTGGGAGTCCCAGGGAGAGGAGGAGCCGGTACAGCTGCCTGACGAGGTGGAGCTGGACAAGGAAGCCTTAGACCGTAGAGTTACCAGCGTCTTTCCTGGGTCTGAGGAACTCCAGGCCAAGTGGCTTTCTTGAGCCATGGGTATTGGGGGATGGTGGCGTGTCCCTTCTGGACCTTGCCCAGTCTCAGAGCTTAAGACACCAAATGCTAGAGCCCCTAGTTAACCCTTCCCTTTCCTATTGTCTGCTCGGCGAGTAGAGGTAGTGAACGTGGGAAGGAGGGTGGTTGTACTGCCAGGCTGACTATTCTAATGAGCCCCTCCCCCACCGGCTGCGCAGCCCCCCCTTCCCCTTTCCTCTGGCCTCCTGCTGCTAACCCCCTCTACAGTGCTGGTCCGGGTGGAGGCCCCCTTCCTCTTCTGCCAGCCCGAGCTGTGCCGGGCACATGTTTTGCGCTGGTGGATTGGAGATGCTAAGGCAGCTATCAGCAGCGGCATCTGACAAACCGGGGGAAGTTGTGGGAGAAGAATTTTCACGAACTGTGGTGAAAGGGGTGAGGAGAAAGACAAAGGAGCTGTGGGGGAATAATAAGGGCGAAGGCAGGCACGACTCGGGAGGAGCCTTCGCCTACCACATACTCCTCGCTGTGGAAATGGTAGCAGGCCCCTTCCTCTGCAAGCTTCTTGCCTCATGCTGGCTGAGGAGCTGTAACCCAGGGTCTTTGGGTCGTTGGCGGCAGCTGCCTAAGTTGGCTCTGTCATGGTTGTCAGAAGTTCTGGGAGGCATGGTGGGAGGAGAGAGGCAACATCTGGGCAGCGGTGCATCTGTGTGTGTGACTTCTGCAGATGATTCCAGAAGAGGCGGTAGCTCCCAGGAGAAAGGAAGGCACGCCGCAAAGCCAGCCTTGGTGCACCTCCTTGGGGGAAGTGATAGCTAATTGGTGGTAGGAAGGGAAAGCAAGCCCAGGCCAGGTGAGGGTGGGGCTGGGAAGAGTTGAGCAATTGCCTTGCATTCCTTCCCTCCCCGGCCTTGAGCTATATTCCCCGGCTGTATCATCCATTTGGGATTTGTTGAACCAAAGTGCAAGTGCTCAAAATTCCCACCGTCTGTATTTTAGGGATCACCTCACCGCAAGAAGCGGAACTGGGTTGTTGCCCTGAGGCAGAGACATGTAGCCTGGAATAAAATGTGGATAGACCACCGTCAAGGTGACCCTGCGGTGCCTGGGCAGCCCATGGGAGCATCCTTGAGATCCTTGGTACACGTGTTTCAGGTTCTTAATCAGGTCAAAGAAAGGGACCAGAAACTTCCAGTCTAGATGTTCAGGCTGGCCAGTCAGCTTCTAATGAGTTGCCACGCCAACTAGTTCTTAATCTCCCAACCGGGAGCTTTCTTCTTTATTTATTTATTCATTCACTCACTTATCTATTCACCTGTTTGTTTGTTTGTTTGTTTGTTTGTTTATTTATTTATTTTTAGAGAAACTGGTTGCAAAGTATTCCAAGCTGGCCTCCCAGTCAGTCTCTGAATCTGAGGCCAGCCTGGTCTACATACAGAATGAGTTTCAGAACAGCCAGGGCTACGCAGAGAAACCCTGTCTCAAAAAAGCAAGAAAAGAGGAAAGGGCATGGCTCCTCTCCCTGCTCTCGGTCCCCAGCTGCAATGGTGAGATTAGGTACAGCACTTTGAATTTTGGGAAGACACGTGCTCTAGATTTCCTGGTGGAGGTGAGCTGAATGGTCAACTTGGTGTCAGTTCTGTACCTTAAAGGGGTCTTTGAGCAGGAGTTTGTTTGTTTTTCTAAGACAAGGTCTGTCTTATGTATGCGACTGGCCACCTACAAACTCACTGTGTGGACCAGGCTGACCTCAGACTCACAGAGCTCCACTTGCCTCTGCCTTCCAAGTTCTGGGATTAAGGGCACCGACTAGCCTTCCTGGCTTTGAGCAGGTTTTGAGACGAGATTGGGCTCACCGCCCTTAGTCTCAGCAGCATGCGGTAGAGGGTGAGGATGGGGGTCTTTCAGTGAGAGAATAAGTGAGGGTTTGTTTGGAATGGCAGAGGCAGCTCCTGGTCCGTACGCTCAGCTGAATAGCACACGGCGATGGTGGGAGAGGTGCTGTAACGGACAGCACTCTGTGTTGTGTGATGAGTGATGTGGCCTTCTCCGAGGAACAGGCATTTACAGAGCGTTCCGTTACTCTGTCAGAGATGGACTCTATACTACCTAGAGGCCTCGCACAGCTGTGGTCTGAAAGCTCACTTACTTTCTCAGTTGAGCAGCAAGACTCCCAACTAAGTTTGGAGCCAAGATCCTTGCCTGAAACATGGTGTGTAATTCATATTTGAGACGCCAGCCCTTGTGGTGTGTGCCTGGAATCCTAGAATTTGGTTTGGTTTGTTTCAAGACAGGGTTTCTCTGTGTAGCCTTGACTGTCCTGGACTCAACTTTGTAGAGCAGGCTAGTCTCACACTGCCTCTGCTGCTTTTCTGATTGCTGGGATTACAAGCACGTGCCGTTGGGCGTGGCTTGTAGTCCTAGAATTTAAGAGGTGGATGCAGGAGGACCAAGAGTTCAGGATCGCCCTCAGCTACATAGCAAGTTTGAGGCCAGCCTGGGCTCTGTGAGATCCTGTGTCAGAAAAGGTCAGAGGGCAGATTCTGGGCCAAGAGGGAGGTTTCCTCAGAGGCAGGAAGGAGAGTTGAGTAGGCCTTCCAGCTTCAGCTGTTTTTCTTTACGTGGTGAGCTGCTCTCTCCAGACCACTTATAGGCTGGAGTGTCACGTGGCCTTGCTCATTTCTGGAGGGGTCAAGGTGACTTCCTGTCCCCGTCTCCCTAGGCTGAGAAGAAAGCCAAGGTGATTGCAGTAATGAATGCTGTGGAAGAAAACCAGGCCTCTGGAGAGTCCCAGAAGGTGGAGGAGGCCAGCCCTCCTGCTGTGCAGCAGCCCACGGACCCTGCGTCCCCTACTGTGGCCACCACCCCTGAGCCAGTCGGGGCTGATGCTGGGGACAAGAATGCCACCAAAGCAGCTGATGATGAGCCTGAGTATGAGGTGAGCAGGCTGCCTCTCTAGTAGCCCTGGCGACTGGCTTTTTCCTGGGGTCTTTCCCTGTCAGATCTTCCCCTTTCCTCCTGCTATCTTCTGGCTGCTTCAGAGTTTTATCGGGTTACTGAGTTGGCTCTGTCTCCCTTCATTCTCATGGGGTTCTCTCTTTCCCTCAGATGCCCAGGGCTGCAGTTTTGCTCTGGGAGGCTTCAGGGTGGCTGGGACTCAGGACTGCTGTGTAATGATTTTTGCTCCTTGGGGCTCTAGGATGGCCGGGGCTTCGGCATTGGAGAGCTGGTATGGGGGAAGCTTCGGGGCTTCTCCTGGTGGCCAGGCCGAATTGTGTCTTGGTGGATGACGGGCCGGAGCCGAGCCGCTGAAGGCACTCGCTGGGTCATGTGGTTCGGAGATGGCAAGTTCTCAGTGGTGAGTTTTGGGCTTGGTGGTCAGAAGGTTGGGAAAGAAAGTAAAACGGGTCTTGGTCTGTGACAGTCTGTGGGTACAGTCTGGAGCAAAGGCAGTGGAAATGCCCTCTGCTTGCCCTCCTGTGTGGGGTCAGTGGAGGAAGCCGTAGTCGTCACTGAGCTGAGTAGAAAGCCTGCTGGTCTATCAGCTGTGAGGGCCCTTCAGATGTTTTCCCGTTCTTGACTGGGGCTCCTCTTTTGCTCTTCGTCATTTTTGTCATTGCCTCTGAGCCCCAGAGGGTCCAGGGACTCTAATGTTCCTCAGGATTAACAGTTACAAGGCACGTGGCTTAACCATATAGGGAACAGCTGGCTGTAGTAATCCCCACTGAACCTGAAGGAGCACAAGTTCAAGACCAACCTGAGCTACATAGTGAGTGCCAGACCATGCAGAACTGTAGCGTGAGGCCGTGTCTCATGGAAGCAACAAACTAAGGCTGGCTTGGCCCCTAGGTGTGCGTGGAGAAGCTCATGCCCCTGAGCTCCTTCTGCAGTGCGTTCCACCAGGCCACCTACAACAAGCAGCCCATGTACCGCAAAGCCATCTATGAAGTCCTCCAGGTGAGCGTGTCCCCAGCATCCTGCGGAGTTTAATCGGTGGGGCCGCCAGGCTCGCTGGAAACTGGAGCTTCGCTAGGCAGGCCTGAGTCCCTTCTTCACCCTCCCTCCTGGTGTTCTCCCGCCCGCTGCCCACCCACCTTTGCCCCTATGAGTTGGGCTTCCCCTATCATCTCACCTGTCCCTACTTCTGTTGCCTTCCAGGTGGCTAGCAGCCGTGCCGGGAAGCTCTTTCCAGCCTGCCATGACAGTGACGAAAGTGACACTGGCAAGGCCGTGGAGGTGCAGAACAAGCAGATGATTGAATGGGCCCTTGGAGGCTTCCAGCCGTCTGGTCCTAAGGGCCTAGAGCCACCAGAAGGTAAAGGCAGTAAATGGGTCTGGTGGACTGCAGCGGGGACTGGGAAAAGCACATTTGGGAGAGCTGCAGTGGCCCCACACACAGTAGGGCAGCGTAGAAATGGCTTCTCTGCTGCTGCTGCTCCGTGATTCCAAAGTAACCTGTCGTCCATTGGCTCACTGGAACCCCAGAACTTGGAGGTGGGAAAGCAGCCAGGGAAATGTGGTGCCCCACCATGGGGACTGTGCTAGGATTAGCCTGTAAGTGGTGTGATCACCTGCCTTCCTGGTGCAGAAGAGAAGAACCCATACAAGGAAGTTTACACGGACATGTGGGTTGAGCCAGAGGCCGCTGCTTATGCCCCACCCCCACCAGCCAAGAAACCTAGAAAGAGCACAACAGAGAAGCCCAAGGTCAAGGAGATCATTGATGAGCGCACAAGAGGTAGGAGCCTGGAGAGAGAAAGGGGAGAGAATTGGGAGCTTTTGAGGGGTGGAGGGGGCGGACGTCATCTGGCTGGGAGAGAGAGAAAGTTGGGAGCTCTGAGGGGCGGACATCATCTGGGCACCTGTCCTGGCCACCTGGGCAGTCTCCTAATGTAGGCTTTCCTCCTGCAGAGCGGCTGGTGTATGAGGTGCGGCAGAAGTGCCGGAACATCGAGGGTAAGTGTTGCCTGGGAGCTGGGTGGGCTTGCTCTTCCCACGAAGTGATGTGGGTCCCCGTGGCATATCTGCATCTCCACCACCTCCGTTCACCTGAGGCTCCTACTCCTTTAGGGTTAGGAAGCACCCCAGTGGGTTCAGAGAAGGATTGTCCTTGGGTGGTTGATTGAACTTGGCTGAAGTTGACCTTGCCTTTTTCAGTCTTCACCTTCTCCAAGCCAGTATTCTCCTTCCCTGGTCCCGAGGTAATGATCTGACAAAGAAACAGGCCTGGAGGAGGGCCTGAGGAATCCCTCCAGGGCAGCTTGGACCCAGACCCTGTTCTTATGAATGGGTTTTCGTCCCCATGTCACCCTACCCTATTTCTGGTGGTGGTATAAGTGAGAGAAAGAAATAAATGAGCTGCTGAGATCGGAGACCAGCTGCTGCCTTTAAGAAAATATGTGGGATGTTTGTAAATGAGTAATACTTACGTATGTGGATGTGGAGGGCATAGGCTGATGCCTGGTGGTGGCTTCCTCAGTTGTCCACCTTCTATTTAGAGCCAGGGTCTCTTTGCTGAACCTAGAGCTCAGAAATTTCCCCTGTGCTGGATGGCCAGTGAGCTCCAAGAACATACCTATTTTCTACCCTCCCCAGCACTGGGATTGCAGGCATAGTCTGCCATGCCTGACTTTTTCTTCTTTTTTTCCTTTCCTTTTTTTTTTTTTTTTTGAGATGGGGGGTCCTCTCTGTGTAGCCTTGGCTGTCCTGGAACTTTGTAGACCAGGCTGGCTTTAAACACACAGAGATCTGCATGTGTGTGTACGTCTCTTGATCATGTCTACCTCATCTTCCCCGGTGACTCCCTGCAGCATGTTTCTTTCTTACCTTCATATGCTCCCCCCCCCAAGCCCCCATAACCCACTGAGCCCAGTTGAAGCAACGTAGCTGGCCTTTTCATGAGGATGCTGGGGATCTGAACTTGCATCTCAATGCTTGCCTGAGCCATCCATCTCCATAGCTCTTTGCTGTTTTTTTGTTTGTTTGGTTTTTTTTTTTCCTTTGTCTTGGGACAGAATCTCCCTCTCTCACATTGTGAACTCACATTGTGGTCCAGGATGCTTTTTGGTTTTCTGAGCCTCAAATGCTGAGATTGTGGCTGTGAGCTACCTGTGTAGACTGCCGTCCTGACACCCGCTTTGGTGGATATTGTCTTAGCTGGGGTCCGGCCCCAGGTGGGCAGGAGCTCCAGGGAAGGGCTGTTCATGGCCACCTGTTACCTTGCAGACATCTGCATCTCGTGTGGAAGCCTCAACGTCACCCTGGAGCACCCTCTCTTCATTGGTGGAATGTGCCAGAACTGTAAGGTAAGGCACGGCCCACCCTGAGAGGCGACTCTCCCCAATGCCTGACTGGTTGTGATACGGACCCTCGTGTGCACTTAGGCTCCAAAGATTCAGGCTTGTTCTGGTTTATGTCATGGAAGATCCTTTTGTGGTTTGAGTGGGACCCATGTGGGCAGGAGTGGGACCTGCAACCATGGTTGGAGGGTGGGTGGCAGAGGCAGGGTCAGGCAGGCTGATGATAGGTGGGCTGCCATGCCCTTGGGAGCCCCTGTAGAAGGCTGCAGGGTGGAACTTCCGATGGGCTATTCACTTCTCAGCCTCGCTCATGTTCAGAGCCTGTCTTGGCTTGGCTCTGAGGCTGGGTGTCCCCCCCCTGACTCCTCACATTCTCCCTAGAACTGCTTCTTGGAGTGCGCGTACCAGTATGACGACGACGGCTACCAGTCCTACTGCACCATCTGCTGCGGGGGCCGGGAAGTGCTCATGTGCGGGAACAATAACTGCTGCAGGTGAGGGCCAGGGCCTGCCCACGGAGCTCCAGGCGCCATTGTCCAGCTGTCCTGCCGCCCCCCTCAGCCCGCCCAGGTCTGAGAGTCGGTCCTTCTCCGCTGGCTTTCCCGCAGGTGCTTTTGTGTGGAGTGTGTGGACCTCTTGGTGGGGCCAGGGGCTGCCCAAGCAGCCATCAAGGAAGACCCCTGGAACTGCTACATGTGTGGGCACAAGGGCACCTACGGGCTGCTGCGGAGACGGGAAGACTGGCCTTCTCGACTCCAGATGTTCTTTGCCAACAACCACGACCAGGAATTTGTGAGTGCTGGGTCTAGTCTAGGCTGTAGTCTCAAGCCCCCCTGAGACTGCTTCTCCAGTAGGCAGTCGGGGCTGGGCAGGCTGCAAAAAGGAGCGGGATGTGTGTGAGCCGTACAGATCCATCTCGAAGGCCTGCAGGTCTCAGCGGGAGGGCCAGCACGGGATGGGGAACTAGGCAATGCCAGGCATGGAGCTGACCAGTGATGCCCACTACTTAGGATCCCCCGAAGGTTTACCCGCCTGTTCCAGCTGAGAAGAGGAAGCCCATCCGGGTGCTGTCTCTCTTTGATGGAATTGCTACAGGTCAGTGGCATGGGTCCTGGGTGACTGGCCTGCTTTTCTTTGGATAGTGGAGATAGTAAGTTTATGTAGCTGCTAAAACTGAATGATGATTAAGAAGTAGGCATGATCCAGTTGGTGGTGGCGCACGCCTTTAATCCCCGAACTCAGGAGGCAGAGGCAGATGGATCTCTATGAGTTCAAGGCCAGCCTGGTCTACAGAGCAAGTTCTAGGATAGCCAGGGGTACACAGTGAAACCCTGTCTCAGAATGGGAAGAAAAACCCAAAAAAACCAAAGCTTAAGCCTGATGGTGCACACTTCATTCTAGTACTTGGACAGAAGCAAGAGGATCGGATTTCGTTCATCCTAGGCTACATAGCGGGTTCAAGGCCTCCCTGGGTTATGTCTCAAAAGAAGTAAAACAATAACGGAATGACTATTGTTTGTCAAAGCTGGGCATGGTGTGTGCATACCTGTAATCCTAGCACTCAGGAGGCAGAGGCATCTAGACTTCTGCATTTGAGGCCAGTGTGGTCTACATAGCAAGTTCCAGCCAGCTGAGGCACCCACACAGGGAGGCCCAGTCCAGAACATTAAGACAGACGGTCATGTTGCACCTTATTGGAGGCGCTCCCTGGGGAGCCACTGGCAGCAGTAGAAATGATGTCACTGTCCCTCATTTTTTGTGATCCCTCGATGTGCTACTGCTTTTCTGCATCAGTAGGCAGCATCGGTGGAGAGGCTGGTAAGGAAGCCACTCCAGCCAGTTAAGAGAAAGAGCAACGAAGGGACCGTGACTTGACGTTTGCCATCCAAGGTCGGGAAATAAACTGAGGTTGAGGAATAGGAAGTGCTGGGTGCTTGGCCATGGAGAGGCAGTTCTAGGGGGCCTCCTGGGGAGCTGGGCCAAGGATGGGCTCTTAGAGCAGGTGCCATTCATCTGTGTCATGTGACACATGGAACTTCGATAGGGAAGTAATAGGGAGTGAGGCATGGTGAGGACATAGACACTTGAGAAAAGGGCATCTCTCTCAACCTGAAACTACCTGCTGTCTTGGCTAGTCTTTCCTGGCTTTGGCCACCTTCCACTTAGGCAAAAGTGAAGCACAGCCATAGTGCTTGTCTGTGCTTATCTGCTTTGATTTGAGAAAAGACCCCGGGAGCCTCAACGTGGGCAAGGTGACCCCCTGTGTGCAGTTGGCAAGATAAGTCTTAAGACCAGGTGTCAGGTTGCTGGCTGTGGGTGATAGTGCTTGCTCCCTGATGGCTGCCACAGGGCTCCTGGTGCTGAAGGACCTGGGCATCCAAGTGGACCGCTACATCGCCTCTGAGGTGTGTGAGGACTCCATCACGGTGGGCATGGTGCGGCACCAGGGAAAGATCATGTACGTCGGGGACGTCCGCAGCGTCACACAGAAGCATGTATGTCCGTCCTGGGGCGGTGTCCTTTCATTCCGTCCAGCTGTTTTCCTCTTTGCCCTTTCTCCTCCAGCCTTTCTCCCTCTTTTTCCATTTTACTTCTGTGGCTTCTGAGGGCAATGAGCAGACGGAAATGGGGGTTTGGGAGCCAAGGACAGAACTGTAGAGCTCCTGTCTGTAGAGCTGAAAGGCTTGCTTTCGTCCTCAGCACTGTGTAGAGTGGGTGGGCGTGGCTAGAGGACCTTGCTCTTTGGGGTGCCAGCTGCTCCCTGGCTGTTTCCACAGTCTTTGTGGCAATATGTTCTGGACTAAAGAGAGGTTGCTGTCATCTAAGTGCTTCTGGAAAGTTAGAACTTTGACCAGTCTGCATTTCAGGGGTAGGGGGGAGTACTGGCAGTCTTCCCTTAGAACCCATGAGATCTGTTTATCTCTGCAGTGGGGGGGAGGAAGGGGGAGGGCATTCATGTGGCACCATCATAGCAGTTTCTCCTCACCTGGGGAAGGCTGGTTGGCACCTCCAGGGCTCCTTGCTGGGTCTGATTGCTCACTGAGAAGCTAACCTGAGGAATCTCAGTGACCGTCCACCTCACAGGTTGTTTCTGCCTCTGTCCCTGGACAGTAGGCCCATCACATTACCTTTGTCCTCCCAGATCCAGGAATGGGGCCCGTTCGATCTGGTGATTGGGGGCAGTCCCTGCAATGACCTCTCCATCGTCAATCCCGCCCGCAAGGGACTTTACGGTAGGTGCCACCTGGCTCCTCTGCTTTCCGAGCTGGTACCTTCTGCACTTAGGTCTTAGGAGTCCTCTTTGGACATTTCTGCCCTGGCAGCTTCTCCAATGGCCCCTCCCCACGCCCAGGCCTCAGTGCTGTCTGATGCAGACAGCCCCCAGCTGATGGCTTTCTCTCTCTCCCAACCTCTCAGAGGGTACTGGCCGCCTCTTCTTTGAATTCTACCGCCTCCTGCATGATGCGCGGCCCAAGGAAGGAGACGACCGTCCCTTCTTCTGGCTCTTTGAGAATGTGGTGGCCATGGGCGTTAGTGACAAGAGGGACATCTCACGATTCCTTGAGGTACAGACAGCAACCTTGGTTTGGCCAGCTCACTAATGGCTTCTTCCTTGGACTGCTGCTTCATTTCTGTCTTGTCTGCAATGCCGGAGCCGGGGACTGGTGGCTTCTGTTTGCTTGAGGAAGACCTCCCATGTAGAAAGGAGGCGGTGCTAGAGGGACACCTAGAAAGAAAGGGTGCTCTTATTTCAGGAAGTGTCATGGTGGTAGACCTTGGATCAAACAGATAGGCTCGGGTTCTGAGACTGAGGTTCTACAGAGAACTCCAAATTCAGTTTTCTCTGACCAGAATGGCCTAGGCTCACTCTCTGGCACCCTAATGGGCGTTTTATGCTACCTGATAGAAAATCATGGCTTGTCTGCTTTCATTTCCAATGATGTGAGCCTCGGTTAATCACTGAGCGAAGTACAAGCCATACACAGGGGATTGCTACTGTCAGCCTGCGCTCCCATCAGCTCAGGCTCAGAAGGTAAACGCGAGGGCATGGTACACACACAGGCTCTCAGGCTTGCTCTGCTGTCCTGGAGTGCCCTGATGTAGCCACCAGCCCCATGGCTGTTCTCACAAGAATGAGCCTCCTTTTAAGCAAGCAGGAGTCAGCCACAGCACAGTGGTCACCGAAGCAGTAACTGTTCCTGTCATCACAGAAAGTTCAGCTGGATTGTGCTAGAATATCTAGAATGTTCTAGCAAGCCCATGAGGGTTGTATTTAGGTTTACTTGAATCTTGTTGGGTCTTCCGGTAATTCCAGTGTATGGCTCCCTAAGAAGGAAGTGCCTCTGAGGAATTAAGCCTCTCAGGCCAGGCCAATTACCCGGCAGTATTTAATTAATACTCCTCCTTTCATCATCTTGAAACCATCTCCTGTTTTACAGTCTAACCCTGTGATGATTGACGCCAAAGAAGTTTCTGCTGCACACAGGGCCCGTTACTTCTGGGGTAACCTTCCTGGCATGAACAGGTTGGTGAGCGCTCTTGGCATGGGGCCTGTGGGAGGAGTGGGCTGCAGGCAGGACAGCCCAAGGATGGACACACTAAGTGTCCAGCTGAGATCGCCTTTGCTGAATAGCAAGGGCCTTACCACTGAGCTGCAGCCCTGGCCCTGCTGTCTGGGGGCAGAGCTTGCTATGTGCTCCAGTCTGGCCTCAAACTTAGGAATCCTCGATGCCCACCCCTCCCCTCCCTTGAGTGTTGGGATGGTAGATCATCTTACTGCACCCAGCTAGCTCTAACGTAGGAAAGGTCCGTGTCAAGTGGCCTTCACTTCCCCGAGCTCCCCTGAGATACTACACAGCAACAGAGAACTTTAACGTTTGGAGCAAAACTTTATCCCACGTAGCTCGGGCTGGCCTCAGACCTCTCAGAAACATGAGTTGAAAAATGTGCCTTTCGGGCTTATATTCCAATCAACTCAGCCAGCGTACCCACCCATGAAACAAATCACCACAAATCCAGATGTACATTCCCCGCCAACCCCGGATAGGCATTAGCTGTCTGCTACGTGTTTTTGAAACCTTTTTTTTTTTTTTTTTTTTTTTTTTTTAAAGTTCCTGTAGGGATTAAGGCCTGTTTGGTTGCTTATGGGTAGGCACAGTATGCAGAGTAATGCTGTGTGTGTGTTTGGGGTAGAGGGCCTTTCTGCTCTATGATTCCACGGTGTCTCTTGCCTCCTAGGCCATTGGCATCCACTGTGAATGATAAGCTGGAACTGCAGGAGTGTCTGGAACATGGCAGAATAGCCAAGGTGAGCCTCAAACCTAGGGCAGGGTGGTGGGGCCGTCGCAGACTGCCAGCCAAGGAGGGGCATGGCAGAGCTGCCTACTTGTACTCTTGGGATCGTGTAGGGTCATAATAGCCAGATGACCAGTGACTAGGCTGAGCCTGCTGCCTCTCAGTCTCTCCTGGTGTGCAACAATCATCTCACCCTGGGGCAGCACTGTGTGGTCTTTAACAAGGTTCTGGGAGCTGCAGAGCCTCTCTCTGTGTATGGCCATCATGCGTATTCTCTGCACCGCATGTGTGCTTGCAGAGGCCAGAAAAGGATTCCAAATCCCCTGGGACCGGAAGTAAAGATAGTTGGGACCCTCCATGTGGGTGCTGGGAATTGGACCTGGTTCCTCTGGCAAAGTAGCTAGTGTTCTTAATCTGAGTCGCCTCATAGCTTTTTAAGTTGGGTGTCCCTTGGCTCCCTGCTACCCAGTGCAGTCCCTGAGAGGTTTGCCTAGGTCTGCCTCCTTCCTCCTGACTCAGAAAGGTACAACTTTTCTGTGCCCTCCCCCTTTTTCTTTTGAATGCTGACTAGAAAAGTGTGCCTTTTCTAAAACTTTGGGCTTCCTTACTCTACCTCTAAAACGTCCCCCCTCAACACGTGGCTGTTTGTCCACCGTGTATGGGATCTATTCGTTTGCCTAAACAGCACGGCCTTTTCTCTCTAGGCAGCTGCCGAGGTTTACAGCTTGCCCTTTCTGGAGTTTTTCTTTTAAACTCCAATAAAATTGTTCTTCAGAAAGAAAAAGTGCTTTTTCATTTTGTTTCTTGTGCTGGAACTTAAAGCTTGCAGCTTGGAGAGTGGCCTCTTCTGGCGTAGTTCCTCTCTGCCACACTCAGATATTAGGTTCCACCCAGACTATCTAGCACTCCGGACTAGAGAGCCCCCACTGTCCACCTTTGAGCTGCTGAGTTACTGACTCCCTTCTGCCTGCAAGTCACTCCCCAATGAGAGAGCCAGTCCTTCGGAAGACTTGAGTGAGGCCGCCACAGCTGCTGCCTGATTAGCCAAAAATGCCCACGTGACCTCAGAGTGGCAGGGAAGCAGGCGCCAGGAAGGAGGGAGGCTTGTACTTAGTGACATAGCTCAGCAAGCGATGCCTGCTCATTCCTCTTTCTCTTTGTCTTCCAGTTCAGCAAAGTGAGGACCATTACCACCAGGTCAAACTCCATAAAGCAAGGCAAAGACCAGCATTTCCCCGTCTTCATGAATGAGAAGGAAGACATCCTCTGGTGCACTGAAATGGAAAGGTGGGGTGCTGGGGTGCTTGTGCCTGACCAGGGCAGGGTTTGAAGGAAGGCTCTGCCTTGGTTGCCACATTCTCCCTCCCCCAAATTCCTTGTGAGTTTTAACAAACATTAACGAGCATGCACATTCCGGGGACTGTCCTTATTTAGAGGGGTCTTAGAATCACCCAAAGAGCCCACTGGAACCCTGCAGCACAGTCCATGGGCCTCCAGGACTTGCATAGTAGGTGTTTTGAAAACCAGTGTACATGCCCAGGGACCACAGCGCACAGCTGGGTGGGCTGCTCCTTGGGTCTGAGTAGGATTTAGCCAGACAAAAAGGCTGTTCTCACAGGTACCCCGAAGCAACAGGGATCCCTGGAACTCACCAAGTCCCACTCTTTTGAGAGCCCCTCCCCTCTCAGAGGGGCCATTTAGAGATGAATCGGGGTACATTTAGACTCAGCCTGGCTGCAGCCCTACAGATCTTGTGTGCAGGGGAGCTGAAGCGCACATCCAAGAGGCCTTTCAGAGGCAAGGCGTGGGGGTTTTGGTTTGTTGTTTTATTTTGTTTTTCAAGTGCTACCATTGTTCCTGCTGAGTGTGAACCTCAAAGCTGGGAGTATATTCCCTGCCTTTAAATCCACAGAATGCCTGGCATGTGGCTAAATTGCCGTAAAGCACAGGTTAGCCTTCGTGCGACAGGAATGTGGAGTGGGACTAACACATCTTCCGGCACCCACCCTCACTCAGCCCTCTCTGCCTTCCTCCCACAGGGTGTTTGGCTTCCCTGTCCACTACACAGATGTCTCCAACATGAGCCGCTTGGCGAGGCAGAGACTGCTGGGCCGGTCGTGGAGCGTGCCAGTCATCCGCCACCTCTTCGCTCCGCTGAAGGAATATTTTGCTTGTGTGTAAGGGACATGGGGGCAAACTGAAGTAGTGATGAAAACAAAGTTAAACAAACAAACAAAAAACAAAACACAATAAAACACCAAGAACGAGAGGATGGAGAGAAGTATCAGCACCCAGAAGAGAAAAAGGAATTGAAATCAAACCACAGAGGAGGAAGTGCCGGAGGGCTTGGCCTTGCAGAAGGGTTGGACACCATCTCCTGAGTTTTCAATGTTAATCTTCAGTCCTATTTAAACAGCAAAATAGGCCCCCTCCCCCTCTTCCCCTCCTGCCCTAGGAGGTGGACTTTTTGTTTTCTACTATTTGCAGAGGGGTTTTCTGTTTGTTTGGGTTTTTGTTTCTTGCTGTGACTGAAACGAGAGAGTTAATTGCAGCAAAGTCAGTAACAACAAAAAAGTAAAAGCCTTGGAGAGGAAAAGGAGAGAGGGAAAATTCTATAAAAATTTATATATTGTTTTTTTTTTTGTTTTTTTTTTTTTTTTCTTTTTCTATATATCTCTTTGGTTGTCTCTAGCCTGATCAGATAGGAGCACAAACAGGAACAGAATAGAGACACTCGAGGCAGAGAGCCCTCTCACAGCCCCGAGCAGTCTCAACAGCACCATTCCTGGTCATGCAAAACAGAACCCAACTAGAGCAGGGCGCTGAGAACACCACACAAGACCCTTTTCTACAGTATTTCAGGTGCCTACCACACAGGAAACCTTGAAGAAAACCAGTTTCTAGAAGCCGTTGTTACCTCTTGTTTACAGTTTATATATATACGATAGATATGAGATATATATATAAAAGGTACTGTTAACTACTGTATAGCCCGACTTCATAATGGTGCTTTCAAAACCGTGAGATGAGTAAAAACATCAGCTTCCACCTGGCCTTCTGTGCAAAGGGTTTTAGCCCGGGATGGGGAGAGGGAGGCGGCTTGAGGGCTTGAGGGAGAGGGTATCATTTTTTTCCCTCTTGGTTTCTAACAAACCAGAGGAGGAACCCCACCCCACGCCTAGCTTCTTGCCGATAAGGGGCTCAGCTGAGGCGGTGGGAACCCGGGGAAGCGGAGTGTGGACTTTATCCAGGCTCGCGTGCAATAACCTTTAAACAGAACCTAAAATGACTGCCTCGGTCAGATGGCGTGAGAAAACCTTGTCCCTGATTTTGAATTTGTCAGCCACATTGAAGGCTCCTCGTGGGATCAGAAATAATCCAGAGTGAGGGAAAGTGACCAGCCGTTAACCCCACCTGGAGCAAATAAAAAAACATACAAAATGTACTGGTGCTTTCTGTCTAAGTTGCCTTTTGTGTGTTCTTTTATGAGCCCCCCCCTCCCCACCATCCCCTCTGCACAAGGCAGCTTTGGTCCTGGAATGTGATGTTTTTGGTCATCTCTGAAGACTGCAGTTTCATACTTGGGAGGCTGATGACACCTTATTATAATTATTCTTATGGTTCTGGCTATAATTGTTTGTTTTCAGATTTTTCTTTTGAGAAAACAAAAACCCAACACCCTTCCCTTTCGGTTTTAAACCAAGGTGCAGGGGGGGTGGCAGGTGCTTCTAAGGACCAGTGGCTCTGGTGCCCTGGCTCCCACCCCTCGGGCCAGGTGGGCCACTGGGCAGTACAGCAACAAGCTAGGCGGCCAGGGAATTCTGAGGCCCACCCTCCGGGCCAGTCCCTCTTCTCTTCTTCTTCCCCTCCTCATGAGTCCGGTGTGTCAGGGCTGGAGGGAGGCCGGGGCAGCCTCTCTCCTTGTGTGTGTGGTTGGCGTGGCGCGTGTTTCTTTTCTAGTGTTTGGTCTGATAGCTGCGCTCTGACCTTGAGTCAGCTTCACCCGGGGCCCCGAGTGCTCGCACTTTGTTCCGCTTCCTTCCCAGAGCAGGCAGCCTGGCGTCGGCGGTGGGAAGGGACAGAGTTGTCGGCCCCGGGGTGAGGGCCCAATGGGCAGAGCTTGCCTGGATGGATGGAGTGTAGATATGTGGCATATAGAGATATATATTTTATAATGGGAGAGGGGACGCCACCTCCTGGGACCAGCAGAGGCTGGGAGGTGTGCTGTCAAGCACATGGTCCCAAGACCGCATCCCTAGAAAGATGGGGCCTATGATAGGCCCTGTATAAATACATAGATAGGGTCATGTTTAAGAAATATACACAGTGGGGGTTGGAGGGAGCGGGCTCAGTGTTGAGCCTGGGTCCCTCTCGCAGACAGCCCCACATCATCAGTCAGTCTAACACATGCACAGGAACCTATTTCCGCCTGGGTGCACACCAGGGAGCTCCTGGCACACTTCTGCCCAGGCCCAGGATCAGGACACTGGAGTGGGCCCATGCAGCTCTTACTCCTCTGTTGCCCTGAGGACAGGTAGATTCGATCTCAGAAGTTGCTAGGTGCTGAAGTCAGGAAAAGGAGGAGGTTTGGTCTAAGCAGGCTCTTCCTCCGGCAGGTCTGTGTTCTGTACCCTTTGCCCCTGGTGATGTCAAAGATTCTTCTGTTAGCAGCCTGTGGTCACTGACCTGCAACTCTAGCACCAGTCAAGTCAGCCCTCCACTCCCCCTACCTATTCTCCCCAACCAAAGTCAAATTGAAATCTCTCTTGGCCTCTGGGCTTCCATTGGGAAAATAAACGTATTCAAAAAACTAAAATGGGACAGCCAACCTCGCTTTCAGAGAAAAGCAGTCTAGTAATTAGTGATAAGACTAAACAGAGGCTTTGGCTCACTGCTCAGGGTAAGCTCAGCTGGTGGCTTGTTGGACCTCTTGGGGCTGTGTAGTCCTGCCCACCTCTGCTGGTCTTCTCTGGATAGGTTTGTAAGAATTCAGCTGGTTCTCCCTGCCTGGCAGGTAGTGACCGTGGTGGGGCTGGAGCATCCCGGAGAGGGGGCTGCTTGACCCCTTGGAGTCCCTGTGCTAAATGTGATGTCCTCTCTTGCTCCAGCAGGGCTGCATTCTGACCCGGAGTCCACCAGCACCATGCAGGAGGACTGGAGGGGAGGAGGGCTGCCTTAGGCAGTCCCAGGTGCTCCCTCCCCCTCTAGCAATGGCAGGGTCTTCCCAGCTCCTGCTGTCAGGACTGTCTTCAAAGGCCTTCCCCTCCCACTTCTGCCCGCTGCTTATGTGAAGAAGCTAGCCTTCCCCAGCAGCCCTGCACCGCCTCAGCTGGGCCTGGTGCTCCCCAATCCCTGCGGTGAGTGTGAGGGCCCAGGAGGAGGAGCCTCACTGTCAGAGCACGTGGCATTCCCAAAGGACTGAGTGGAGGCTTGCAGGTGGCTGACCAGCTCTGACCTGACAAGTTCCCTAGAGTGGATTCCTCACGGGGCATCTACCTGGTGGTCTCCGGCTTTCCTTCTTGCCCAGTCTGTGGGGCTTGGTCTTAGGGTGGCATGTAGGCCCCCAGTATCTTTGGGGGGATCTTCGGGAATATGCCTGCTTGGCTCTTACTCCACCTCTACCCCGAGTGGGGCTTCTCGGGTCCCCTCCAAAGAAGAGCTGCTAGGATGCTATGGTAGTTGAGGTGGGGCTGGAGGAAGTTGGCGCAGTGTATCTAGGAGCTCTTTGTAGATGGAGCTGAGGCTGCAACCAGGGCCTGGGAGGATCCCCATCGGGGTTCCCTTTCCAAAGAACAGGCTTGTTTTCCCTGGAAACTAAGGTGCTGGTCACTGAGTGACAGCCTCCCTTCCGCAGGTGCCCTGTGAGGCCTTGAGCCGAAGATCCGTGGCCCTTGCCAGGGGGAGGTAGCTGGTGCTAGCGCCAGGGTCACGGAACCAAGGCCTCCTGTGGAGGCACACATGCCCAGCAGGGGTCCCAAGCTGGTGCTAATTCCTCCCCACAGGACTCAGTAAGCCTGGGAGCCTGCAGTAGGCTGTCCCTCAGCTGTTACACTATGAGAAAGCAGAAGTCCCCTGAGGAGCCTCCTGGACCATGGGCTAGGCGTGGCCGCAGGTAGAGAGATGGAAGGAATAAAGATCGCCGTGGCTTTTGGCAAATGGCTGGAGTGTGGGCACAGGGACTGCAGGTAGTAAGGCAGGCCAACGTCGGAAGCATCTACCTTCCCCCACGGCGTCTCTGTTCGGGGAACCCGAACAGAGGTTTAGGAGTTGGGGGAGTTAAGCTGAGCCGCTTTGAAGGCGTGTGCTTGCAGGAAAACTACAGATAGTTGGTTTCCATATTCTCTTCTACACAGTGTGTCCAGAGAGTGTAAGTGACTTCCCAGGCCTGTCTCGCTGGGCGGAGCTGTTGCTGGTCTTCAGGCACTGTCACTGTAGGAGCCCTGGCTGGGGGCTGGGACTCTGTGGCCGTCCCAGCTGAGATTGCAGGCAGGCCCGTGTTTGGATCTGGGTTTGGCTGGTGCTTGCCTGTTCAAAAGTGCCTGTGATGTGGTGGTGGCACCGAGTTGTCCAGTTGGCAGGGGACAGCTGAAGCCTGTCAGCCCCCTATGATGGCAGAGGTGTTGCTGAGTGACGGGGGTCGGGTGGCTAGAGTGGCTTTTCTGATCCTTTCCCATCCAGTCCTCGCCAGCCCAGGGGGCAGCAGTGCTGGGTCGGGGAACCCCTTAGGAAAGGTTGATGGGGGTCACTGTGAGCTCCTGCATGTTTGTGTTAGGAGAGCTGAGGTCTTTGGGAAGTAAGACCTTATACTGGCAGGCCTCCGAGATGCAGCTAAGGTTGACCTTTGGTTGGAGACAAGTCTCTAGCTCAAGCACTGGACCTTTGAGGCCAAAAAGCGGGCCAAGAGTGAGAAATACGGAAGGTCCTTTGTTGGCAGGGACTTGGCAGCTTCTTTAGGGGACCCCAGAAACTCCAGTAACTGGCTCCCCTAATGGGATGCTCTCCATTTGTGAGCTCATAGAACAGACTCCTAAACCCCACCCAGCACCCGAACCTGAGGACATGAGCAGTGGTCTAAAGTCTCACCTAGTCTCATTTTACAGACTAATTTGGTTGTCCGGCCCAAGAATTCTACAGAAACAACAACAAAAGCTGAAATTCCTTAGAATATGCAGAGGGAGGAGGTGACTCAACAAGGTGCTAAACACATTTTATTAAAAATATATATTGTTAAATTAAGTCTGCTGTCTGGACAATGATGTTTTGTTTTGTTTTCTTGTAGTGGAGTTTAAAAGAGACTATTATTTTACTCTGATATATTATTATTAAAAAGGCATTTTAACTTTGTACTTGAAAACTAAGTGAGCGATTTCACGTGTTTTAGCTGAGGCATCGAAGTAGCGGGTGCTTACTTGTGGGAAATCATGTATTCATACTACAAAATAAACTCCGTAGCTGATTTGGTAATAACTTTTACCGTTACAGACGATTTCGCTTTGACCCCGGTGGCAGAGCTCTTTTACTCCACATTCCACGCAGCTACATGCAGGACCTTCCAGAATCTTCCCTCCCCTTGGCCCTCTCTTTCCTTTCTGTTCCTCTTCCTCTCTCTTTTCCTATTTTTTTTTTTTAATTGTTGTTTGTTTTTTCCTGGTCCCAGCATCCTTCTACCACTGTATTTTTTGTTAGGGTTGCTTCTCTATTTATTGACAGTAATAATGTACATTTCACAGTCTGGCTCTGGGACAGCCAGGATGGGTGTGGGGGGGCTTCACACAGCCCGCTGCACCGTCCGGCGTCCCGTTGTATCTCTGTGTACGTGATGCTTGTGACATAGCTGTTGATGAAATAATTAAAAAGGTCAATGCGTACAGCAGATGTAGAAAGTCTGTCAGTTCCGCTTTCATCACTTTTTTTTTTTTTTTGTGCCCAGAAGAATATAATAAAGCTCCTTTCTAATGTACTTGTGCTGGAGAACACTTGAATAAATGGACTGTTTTTGTGCAAAAAGAAAAACGGAAAAAAAAAAAAAAAAAAGCACCGTCATAATGTCCTTTTGTCCTGCGTCTCCTTTCCCCTAACGTGACAGCTCACAGCACTCCAGTGGGCTAAAGTACTGAAGAGGGGGCAGTGGATTGTGGGTGTTAACTAGGGGCTGGGACCCAAGTTCAGAGGGAGTTTGGCTCAAGTTCAAAGATCAGTTAGACTGAGATGAGTTGTCTAGAAAGGCAGCTTGACTTCCGGAAACAACAACTGTCTTGAGACCGGAGCAGGAAACAGATCAGCGTCCACGTTAGGTGGCAGTAGAACCAGTGGGGAGGGTGTTACTAATGCCAGAGTCCAGAAGGGAGAAGTCAGGGAAGGGAGGTAGACAGTTGGGGCTGGGGCTGGGGCTGGGGCTGGGGGAATCCTGGAAGAGCCTGGGGGTTAGAGGAAATATTTGCAAACTCTTGACCCAAGGGCTGGGACAAGTGGCCAACAGGGCTACTGATGGTCTAAGGACAGGCTGCCTCAGGGCCTTGGGGTCTGCGAGTTACCCACAGTGTCCCCTGTCCTACCTATCAAGAGGGTCTCTCCTACATATCTCCAGGAGGGAGTACCCAGCAGCCTTGATCGGGGTGTCCACTCCAAGGGGTTGTTCAGGCTGTTTCTTCCACCAGGTTCGGGAGGTTAGGATAGCAGAGACACTGTGAAGGGACCCTTGAGCAAATGGGGAGAGCCCCGCTAAACAGGTATTTTCATGGGCACTTTTTCTTGCTTATTTTTTTTTTCTTTGACAAGGTTGTAAATGTATATTTGGCTTTTACTCTACTTTTTTCTTGATGTTTTTTAATGTTGATGTGAAATCTTACTTTCAAATGGCTGCATGGCATTTTCTTGTTGAATGTTTGTTTATATATATTTTATTTTCGCTATAAATAGAGCTTCAATAAACATCTTTATGTTTTGGCTTCCCCCTTTTTGTATTTTTTTTCTCTCCTGAAATAGATTCCCAGAAATGAGACCAACTGAAGAAAGTTACAGTGGACACTTTAGTTCCTGAGTCCTTCCACGAGGTCAGCAGGTGGGCATTGGGCTTCAGTTCTGAGATTCTGTCTGCCAAGAAACAAACGAGGCCCTTCTTGAGCATCACTGGTTCCCTAGGGCTGAGTTAGCTTAGAAAGGAAGCCTCTAATTTAGTTCACTGTCCTGAAGGCTGGGTCCAGAATCTGGGGCCTCACATTCTCATGGCAGACACAGAGAAGAGAGAGTTCAGACCCCCTTCATAGGGGACCCATCCCTCAAAGGACCCCCCCCCCATGCTGCTACAGAGAACACAAGGAACCTGTAGACACACTTTAATCCTAGTGGGGAAGTGTGTGTGTGTGTGTGTGTGTGTGTGTGTGTGTGTGTGTGTATTTACATGAATGCACAGTGAATGTCTGGAAGTCTGAGTACAACCTTGTGTGTGAGAAAAAGCAGCCTGAGTCTCTACCTGCTAGTCTGGAGTCCCATGCCTCCCCCAAACCCCGGCCCTATGCTGGGACTGCAGGTGTACAACTGCACCTGGCCTTTCACGTGGATTCTCAGGGTTGAACCTACACAGCAAGCAGGCTTTCCCACTGAGACTGCTGTTGTCTGTGACAAGCGAGGCACTCGGGGAGGAGCAGGAGGGTTTTGCAAATCCTCTTTGCTGGGAGAATACAGGCAGGGACAACCCAGCCTCAATCTCCCAAGACTGGTTCCAAGGTTCAGGAGAGACAGGAGAGGTGGGGGAGAGAGAGGTGTAGACGCCCTTGGTTCTAACGCCATTCCTAAATATTTAGGGTGGGATCCAAGCCAGAGTTGAGAGAGCTTTCTCAAGGCAAGGAGCTGCCTGACCTTTGGTTAGACAGAACCTATTGGTGAAGCCCCTGGTGCCGATTGATAGTATAGGGTTTGGAGGAATGAGGATGGGGTTGGAGGGCCAGAGAGAATCAAGCAGGAGTCTTTGTTTTTTTTTCGAGACAGGGTTTCTCTGTGTAGTCTTGGCTGTCCTGGAACTCTCTGTAGACCAGGGTGGCCTGGCACTCCCAGAGCTCAGCCTGCCTCTGCCTTCCCAAGTGCTGGGATTAAAGGCGTGCACCACCACTGCCTGGCTAAGCAGTTGTTTTCTGCTGTGGTGTGCGTGGTGCGTGCACCCTGCTACCTGGGCTGGGCCCTAATGTCCTGCTAGGCTAACTGATGAGACAGAAGAGACGGGATAAGGGGTGGCCATAGCTGGCCAGGAAGGAGGCTGAGGATACACAGGAGAGCTGGCTGTGGCTCTGTTGTATCCTTTGCACATGCTCATGTTGGATGGGGCGCTGCAGTAACTCAGGAAAATGGTTGTCGCAGCTACGTCACCAGGCATCACCTGCAAGGATCCACCATGCCTCCATCCTCAGAACCTGTAAACAAGCTAGACGTGGGGTCAGAAAGATGGTTCAGCAGGTAAAGGCACGTACCCAGGGTACCACTCTATCAAAGACAGGGTTTCAACAAAACAGAAACATCACCACAACATGACCTTTTGTCTTTGTCTATGGTACTATTTGATGTACTGCCTCGAGTTCTCCGAGGGCTAGCCCTGCGCATGCGCACGCTGCCCTCGGCGCTTCGTTGCCCCACCCCCAGCCCCCACGCAGCCTGCCATGGCATCAGGGTCACAGGATTGTCTCTTCCTTCCGGGAGGGGTGTTGCACTCCCACCTGGCGCACATCCTCACACTGGGCAGCAGAGGTCACCCCGAGACTCAGATTACATTCGGGGACTGTGCATGCCAAAGGGGCTGCGGTTGCGTGTGCTCAGCAGCTACGGAGGGTCGCAGAGCCCCACGCTCTTAGCGACTGCCCGATGGGACAGTGCTCGGGCCGTGTGACAGTGTGGTTGGCAGAAGGCCCATCTCCCTCTACATACAACTGTGTTCATGAAGAAAGACAGTTTCTCGGGGCCTGTGAAGTGGCTGTGTGCGTAAGGGCACTTGCTGCCAAGCCAGGTGACCTGCGCTCAGTCACCAGAAGCCACACGAGGGCGAGGAGAGCTGAATCCTGCAAGGGTCCTCTGACCTCCACATGTGTGCAAGGGCACGTGTGCATGTGAAACACACGATAAATAAATAAATATATTATATACACCTAAAGACAATCCCAGCGTGATAAAAGTCGTGTAGAGTCACGCTGATCCATGATGCCTGGGGAGCAAATCTGAAGGAGATGGGCTAGGGCTGCTGTCTGTATCCTGGCTGAGAGAGCTTTCATGCAAATGTCTCCGTTGAGGCATGCAGGAGGTGGACACCTGAGGATCAGTAGTTCAAGCCCAGTCTCGGTTACATATCCAGTCTGAGGCCACGCTGGGCTACAAGAGACCTTGCCCTGAAAATCCCTGAGACAAAACAATAATAACAACAAAAACCCTAAGTACCCTTTTCTGCTGGGGGGAAAAACAAAAAGGCAAGGCTGGGAGATGGCTTACGGTGCCCGCAGGAACACACTCAGTCTTAAAAAGAGGAAGGGAGGGAGGGAGACCGCAGTTTTCCGCAGGAGCCCTGGTCAACCAGGCACTACTATTTAAAGCCTTCACCAGGTTAGACTACTGCCAAGGCCCGTCCTTTTGCAGCTGTGAAACAGCTCACAAAACGAACCCTTCCACCCTTCCGGCCTCTAGGCTTCCAGCAAGGCCTGTCAGGGCGCATGCTCACGCCACACGTGTTCCTGGGAGCTCTTGCCTTAGGGAAAATGCCCGGAAGTAAGGTTGCTGGGCATAGGTATGGGGCCTTCGCAGGCTTTAAGAGTGCATTTTTCAGCTGATGTCAAGGTGACCCTGCCTTTCTTTCCCGCGCAGGCTGGCTTTCCTCGCAGCCACCCAAGGTCCCCTCGCCTGCCTCTTCGCATTCACTTTTGTGGGGAAGAACATGGAAGCCCCCACCTGTTCCTACCCACACAGTATCACGCCTGGGATGTGAGTGGCAGAATGACAGGCAGCCGAGAGCAGCTGTCAGGGCTGTCACCCTCCTCCGGGGCCTCCCGGGACACAGCAGGTGAGAACAGCGCCTCTGGCTTCTCCCCTGCAAAGCCACGCGGCAGGGACAGGAAGGGACCTGCAGAGCAGGGCGGTGCTCTGTGCCCCTGCAGCGAGCAGAGAGCTTCCAAGATGCACAGGGTGGTTTGAATGAGAGGTCCAGGGTTCAGGCCTGGTTTTCTGCTGGTGACTGGCTGGCTGGCGCGAGAGTGTCCGCAGCCCGCTCCGAGGCTGGTCCAGGGTTAGTTCTGCAAGACTGGGAGTGGGGGCGGGGCGGGAGGGGTGGAAGGGGACAGAAGACACTAGGACGCCAAGCCAGGATCAGCTGGAGAAACCACCCCACGTGATTTCACTCGGGCTTCAGTCAGTTTACATTTTCATTTTAATCATTAAGTTTTCAATTTTTACTTTATTTTTAAAAATGAATACCAAGTATTTTAGCTACTAATTAGCTTTTATTAATGTAAGGCTTACTTTTTTTTTTTTTTTTTTTGTAGTTTACGTTTGTTATTTTGCTTAGAGAGACAGGATCTCTGAGTTGTTATATGATCCAAGATAACCCGAGAATGACCTTTAGCTGCTGATTCTCCTGCCTCTTCTCCTGAGAGTGGGCTCGCAGACCTGAACCACACCACTGTGTTTACAAATGCCCTTCGAACGTAGGGTTTACCCGAATGTGGTGGTGCACCGCACCGGTAATCCTAGCACTTAGGAGGCAGAGGCAGGCGGATCTCTGTGAGTTTGAGGCCAGCCTGGTCTACAAAGGGAGTCCAGGACAGCCAAGGCTACACAGAGAAACCCTGTCTCAGAAAAAAAGCAAGCAAGCAGGCAGGACTTGCTCTACTGATTTTTAGTTTTCATTACTTCATTACATCTGTGTAATAATTTATTTATTTGGGTATATTTGTGTGTGTGTATGTATGCTCCAGAGTGAGGCCCACTGCCAACACGTGGGTGGAGGTAGGAGGATGGCCTGCAGGAGTCAGTTCACTTTCCATTATGTGTTTCCTGGAGATCAAACTCAGCTCATCAGATTTGAGACAAGCACCATCTCCTGATGAGCCACCTCCCCAGCCTGGTGCTCTGTTTTTAAAAGGTTGGCAGGCCCGAGCTCACAGCAGTCCTGCTCTTATTATACCCAGTTCGCGAGCCCCAAAAGATCTACAGGAACCGACTCCATTGCAAAACACATGAGGGTCTTTTTATTGTAAATTACAAGCTGCAGCTTGGGCCAACACAGCCCCACCGCCGAAGCGGTGGGAGCTGAGCGCGCGTGCCCAGGTTAGTTGGGTGATTTATAGATTCTGCCAATCCCAGCATGCCCAAAGCAGGGGTGATTCCTGCCTGGCAAGCATCTATTGGTCAAAATGCTACATTTTGAATCGATTGGCTATAGGAAGGTTCCCAGGCCATTAATGACCAGGTGTCCCTCCCTAGGGGGATGGTCCAGTTTCCTAGCAACTGTATCTCTAGTGGGTGGGGAAAGAATGCAGTGAGGTGGCTCTTCCCCTCAGGGCATTACTAAACTTTAGGTCTTAATAGCTGCTAATTTATCTTTTGGTCTCTCACTCTGAATGCCCTAGTGCTGTGGTTACCACATCTGGCTCAGGGTGGCTAAACTTTATGTTGAGACAGGGTCTCACTGTGCAGCCCTGGCTAATCTAGAACTCACTATGTAGACCAGGCTAGCCTTGAACTCAGATCTGCTTGCCTCTGGCTCCTGAGTGCTGGGACTAAAGGAATGCACCACTAAGCCTCAACTGAATTTGCTTTTTAAAAAAAAGGTTTATGTCTAGCTGGGCATGGGGTTCAGGCAACTGCTTGTGAGAACTCAAGGCCAGAAGAGGGCTTCAGGTGTCCTCTTCTATAGCTTTCCACCTATTTCTTTGAGGCAGGGGCTCTCCCCCCCAACACTTCCCCCCCCCCCCCCCCCCCC